CAGCCTACCTGAGGGTGCAGGAGTTAAAATGCAGATTCAGGACTTCATCTCAGAAGTTCAGATTCAGTAGTCCAGACCTGACCCAAGAATCTGGTTTTTCTCTCAAAGTAGCCAACAAGTAGCACTCTTACAAACATCTTTTACACATGTGTGCTTACTCAGCTTGACTGAGCTATAATTGACAAATAAAATTGTAATATATTTAAAGTATATAAAGTGATTTGATATGTGTATACATTGTGAAAGGATTCCCACATTTGACTTTATTAACACATCCATCACCTCACATATTTACCTTCTTCCCCACCCACCCCACCCCCCGCTTTGGTGAGAACACTTCTACTCTCAGCAAGTTTCAATTGTACAATACAATTTAACAGCTATAGGGACCAGGTTATACTTTACATCCTCAGACCTTATTCATCTTATAACTGAAGGCTTGTGTTCTTTACCCACCTGTGTCCACGCCCCCTACCCTCCTGGCAACCACCTTCCTGCTCTCTGTTTATATGGGTTTGATTTTTTTCCTTTAGTTCCACACATTAAGTGATACCGTGCAGTATTTGTCTTTATGTGACTTATTTCACTCAGCACAATGCCCTCCCGGCCCACCAATGTTATTACAAATGGCAAGATTTGCTTTTTTTTTGTTTTTTTAAGACTAAATAATATTCCATTGTAGATTTAGAGATATAGATATAGATATATAGACATAGACATAGATATACAGATATCTCTTATCACCTGCTGATGGAAACTTAGGTTTATCCATACTTCAGCTATTGTGAATAATGTTGCAATGAGCATGGGAGTGCATATATCTCTTCAAGACAATGATTACATTTCCTTTGAATATACATACCCCAAAGTGGGATTGCTGGGCCACATGTTAGTTATATTTTTAATTTTTTGAGGGAAACTCCATATTGCTTTCCACAGTGGCTGCATCAGTTTACATCCTACCAACAGTGCTCAAGGATTCCCTTTTCCTCCATATCTCACTAGCAAAGAGGGAAATGGGGAGAGGTCAGTAAAGACAAGTCTTTTTGGTAAGAGAGATCCTAACATGTGTGAGGTGATATCTCATTGTGGTTTTGATTTGTATTTCCGGGATGATTAATGATACTGAGTATCTTTTCAGATGTTGGCCATTTGTTATGTCTTCTTTGGGTCTTTTGCCCATTTTTTATGTGTTTTTGTTTTTTGTTTTTGTTTCTTTGTTTCTGTTTTGTTGTTGTTGTTCTTTTGTTTCCATTTTTGTTTTGCTATGTAACTGAGTTCCTTGTATATTTTGGATATTACCCCTTATTGGATGTGTGTTTTGTAAATATTTTCTTCTATTCTGTGGGTTGCCGTTTCATTTTGTTGATTGTTTCCTTTGCTGTGCAGATTTTTAGTTTGATGTGGTCCCTCCTGTTAAGTTTTGCTTTTGTTTCCTTTGATTTTGGTGTCAAATCCAAAAAATCATTGCCAAGACCAATGCCAAGGACATTTATCAATGCTACTCACAGATCATGTAATTCAAAGGAAATGATGGAAATCATGAAAGATTTCAAAAGGAGATAAAGAAATCTATTATTTCTTCCTATCTATTATTATTTATCCAAACTAAAGAAGAAATCCTGGTGATAAAATGCACCACATTTTCATAAACTGATGCCACCTGAGAGGAGACTGAAGCTGCCAATTCTAGGGCATAAAGTGGATGAAGGCAAGGGAGGAAAGTTATACGGTCATGGGAATAGATGACCTATAGTGCCTTTTGGGGGATCACCCCTGGTACCAGTTATGGTATTTGGTCAGATGGTATTTTGTAACTAACCAGAGGTTTAACACTATTCTAGGACCAACTCTGATCAGCCCAATTTGAACTGGGATTAAAAACATAAAAAAAAATTATGTCTGTACTAGATATATCAGTCATATTTCCATTCACAGCCTATTCTAAGAGAATCTGCCTTCTAGCCTTTGGCCATGACTATTCTAAAAGACTCTGCCTTTGGTCATGCTTGTCTCAGGTGACTCTGCTTTCCTGGCTACAACTGATTGAACCAGGGGTAGACATCTGATTCAGCCTGAGCCAATTAGATGTTCTCATGTCAGAAGTTGAATGAGAACACAGAGATTGAGACTAGCCAAATTGTGCAGAGGAGCTCTCAGCCATGGAGGATTGGGGCAAATATGATACCATGGCAAATCAAAGTCTCAGAGGAGAATTACAGGGGAGTGAACTTCCAAAGCTTTAGAAAGATCAGAAATGGGGATGTAGAGGAGATGGAACAAGTGGACATGCCCAGAGGAGCAGAGATGAGAAAAAGTAGTTTTTGGACGGCCAGCTACTTCCTGTGAAATAGGACTCTACCTTCTGAAATTAGATTCCCTGATATTCCCTGCATCCCTTCAATAAATAACCTTCCCACACATGGTGAGAGAGTTAAGTCGAGGGGGTTTCTGCTGCCATTGGCAGAGATCCCTAAGCAAGACTATCTGAGCTTATCAGCCACAGTTTTCAGAGTTAACTAGGAAGGAAGCACACATCCTGTGAATGTGCTCAAGACTGCAGGGCTTCCTGTGGGATGCACGTCGAGTGTTGAAGCTCAGCCTGATGGGCTGGCCCTTTGTGACAGTGCAGTGACGGTGCAAAGGTGACACTTTTTGCAGCGATGGTCAGCATTAAGGGATACTGCTGCACAGTGGGCTGATATTTTTCTTTACTGTTTTCTTACTACCTCCACTCCTTTGCTCCAAAGACTAGTAAGAACCTCAAGGGAACTAGGATGAAAGTGATGTATCCGCCAGAGCACCAACTGCTAGGTTGTTTTCCCAAAAAATGTTTTTAAGAGATACAGATCATATTAATATGTGGCAGAGTTTGCTAATTGTCCTCTCAACATCCTTTGTCTTCCATACTAATGACAGCTTAAGCTATATCTAAATATAGCTAAAGACAGCATAGTAAATGGAATGTAAGCAGAATGACATATGCAACTTCTGGGTCAGGTGTTTTCTTCACTCTTTTTCCTTCAAAGTGAGCTTGGAATCAGGATGTGCTGGTGAGCTCTTTTCGGGACACAAAAATGAAGCCAAATCTCTAAGGCTGGAAAACCAACAAGACGGACAGAGTTGATTCTCTATATTATAGAGCCACCACTTTGGTATCTTTATTTTTGAGTCTTTTGTTTCAACAACCTAGGCAGTAGCCTAAATAAGGCCATCATTGTGCAGACCTTTCAGATGATTCTCTCCCCATTTACTGGAACCTGACATAAATCTAAGGGAAGAGCACAGAACATGTTTGAAGACATGGTAGATATAACACTGCACAGTAAATCCGTATCAGGGGCAAGAAACAGAGCCCCAGGAGGTGAAACAGATCCACTAAGATTTTAACAGGATCTTAGAATAAAGAGAATATTTAAGAATACTTAGGGAAGTGCTAGCTAGAGGGGTGGGGAGGTGGGCAAAATGAGTGACGGGCATTAAGGAGGGCTCTTGTTGGGATGAGCACTGGGTGTTATATGTAAGTGATGAACCACTGGTTCTACTCCTGAAACCAATACTACACTGCGAACTAACTTGAAATTAAATAAACAAACTAAAAAAAAAAAAAAAAAAAAAAAAAAAGAATATTTAGGAAAGCAGAAACTCTAAGTATTTTCTAAGAATACATAGGAAAGTTACACAAAATATTTGCATAGCTATTCTCAGTTTTCCCTTAAAATTATGATCACTGCATATTTCCCAATAAGTATACTTGTGTTTGTAACATTATCTCCTGCTTTTGTGGTCAGCTTGTGCTCAGCTTAATGTTTCAACTCAGCCCAAGGCCTTATACACAGTTGATACTCAATAAATATTTACAGAGTCAGACGGAGTCCCATATGACTGCAGCTCTTACTAGTATATGTAGCTTGCAAAATCAACTGACATTAGCCTCAGTCTGTACCATACGATGTACCAGGATATGTTTAAATATGCCTTCAAGAATTTATTGCATTCATCTTAAAGAATTTGGAAGTTACTTAAAATGTATCTTTTACAATACTTACTCTTGAAAGAAGGAGGGGGGGGGCTGTAATGAAAAGGTATAATCTCATCAACTTACTGGCAAATACAACATGGAGTGATGTTGCTCTGGCCAGGATATTTCATCCCAGGAAATAATTCTTTCTAGCAGCTTCTCTGGGGGTCCTACTCAGAAAAGAGGCTTGACCCAAAAAAAGCTATTGAATGATAGTGGATAACAGTTTTAAAAAACCCAGTTAACTCTAAAGAATGGAGATGGTCAATCTAAATACAAAAAGTTTCTGATAAGAAAAATAAAACTTACGAAACTGAATAATAAAGATTGATTTCATATATAATCTTCAGCTACAACAGTTTCTCCTTATCTCTTTCTTATCTAACCATAATATTAAATGAAAAGTCATATTATTGTTCATAGTAATAATTCTATTAGTAAGTAATTATAAGTCTATTATAAAAAGAGTTTTATGTTTCTACTCCTTTGTTAACAGAAAGTGAATTTTTCTCTTAAAAAGTGAGAGTTATGTTTAACTCGGGGGCTTTACTTACGCACTTTATAGAAAGTAGGGCCACCAAAGGCTCTAATGGATCTTGAGAAAGAGAGATGGAGAGAGGGTCAGAGAGAGAGAATACTTTGGAACTCACAGTAGTCTCTATAGGAAAGGATCAGGTGAGAGAGAGGCTGCCCCCTAATTTCTTTGGGGGTTACCTAACGTGGGCAGGGAACTCACTCCGCAGAGTTGCAAGTTAAAGTGTCCAGACACAGACACTTCAGGAGTTAAGTAGTGTCACATCAAATGTTACCTGATCCAGTGCCACATAAGTCGACAACAGAGCATTAAGAGCTAAAAGCTGTAAGAAATGTGTCAACATAACATTTGACACTGTGAGCTCTATAAAAATGGAAAGCAAGTCCACACCGTTTAGAAATTCATTGAAAGGATTATAACACCAGCAAAGAGAGAATCCCTCAGTTCACTTCACTCTTTCTTTACTTAGAACAGCATAGATACTGACTTGCAAGGGACCTAATCCAACAACAGCAATGAGGATAGCGATGGTTGGCTAAGCATAAAATGTGAGGCAGTGACCCCCACAGGTCATGCCAAGGTCAGCACACATCTGAAGAGAGCCAGCAGCGCAGCTGTGCAAAGGCAACCAGGCAGAGAACAGAGATGAAATTCTTTCAATGTCTATCAAACAGATCAACGTTTACTCTTCTCGAAACTGCCAAGGGAAAGTAGAAAGTTTGAGTGCCAGGAGGATTGGGGCACCAGCATTGACAGGGGTTGCTCAGAGCCAGCAATTCCTGTTGTCATGCCATCTACCCCTTGGGTTATACCCCTTCAAGCTGCTGTAGGACATGAGGCTACGTACTGATTGCAGCAAGCTTTAACGAATTTTTGTAATGTAAAATGGTTGACTCTTAATCCAAAAAAAGCCCCCGACTCAAAAAAAAACCTGTTGAAAATCTTTTCTAATGCTGGCTTTTACTGTAATTCAACTCCTGGGATTAGAAATAATTTTAGTATTACGATAAAGGATCCTGGTTTTGTTAGCATAGAAATTACATTTTGTCTCGGTTCCTTAGTTTAATGTATATCAAACTTATAAAAGTCAACAGCTACCACTTGACATTAAAAGTTTTATAAATTCATTTTGAATTCAGTGAATAGTGAGAACTTAGTGAATAACTACTTGGCTTTTGAATAGTTTTAGAAACTAAAGCACTAAAATATGTTAAAAGCAAAGGCAAATAGCAAGATACTATGTATAAATATAAAAGCAACATTATCAGTAACATAGATAGCCTTGTTTTTTCACATAGACAAGATCCAGTTTCTGTGGCCTTAACTATAACTTTCTACAGTAAAGAATATGGTGCATATATTATAATGCATGTGGGAGTAGTTGTCAAAAGAAGTCTGTTCTATTCAACAATTCCCTGGGTGGAAAAAAAAAACCTGACTTGGCATTCAAATCAGTCTTTTAATATTCATTACCTATTTATATGTATGTTATAAATTTCTTATAGTGGTCAGGAAGCCAAGTTTCAATGGACCTATAAAAATTGATCAGTGGCTCTCTCTGAGAGGCATGATGGAGAATATCTGATATCCTAGGAGGAATGGAAGGTCCCATGGAATACTGCAGTCTCTTTAGCACAATAGTTGTTTCCTCTCAATATTATTTCTGCAGCATTATTTTTCCTCCTTACCAACCTTATCCCCAAGCATTCAGAAGACAATATGGACTCAGGAATAGAAATTATCTTACAGAATAGTGAGTTTGGGATTTTTTTTTTTTTTTGCTTTAAAATGCAAGTGGTTATAAATATAGATAAGACTTAAGTCAAAATTAGCTGATCATTTTCTACACAGGTTGATCCAAAGAGTATTTTGTTTAGATTTTGGGGTCTTCATTTCTGCCATCACAGACTTCAAATGAGTAATAGTATAAGGAATAGTTTTCTGAAATATGCAAAGGAACACAATTAAAAGGAGGAGTATATTCCTTTAGAATGGATTGGTTAAGAGGATTTATGGAATACCTCCAGTGGCAATCTTTCTAGGTAAAATAGGAAAACTATTTTTCCGAGATGGTTTAGATTTAATTTTACTAAAGACAGAAAGATAAAGAAACAATCAAAATCTCCTTTATTCATTGACCTAGTATTTGTGTTGATATATTTGAAAATAAAAGAAACTGATTTTGATAAAAGCTTTGTTTCTTCATACTGTTAATGAAGCCCTTTTCCTAACGCACTAAATATGGAAATCACACTTGGTTGAGCTTGTAGGATGATCAGTAGCAACGAGGAGATGGTGGAGGAAAGAAAAGAACACAGAGCAGCACTGATGCATTAAATATTTCTTTTTTAGGAAGCTAGCATCTCTTTCAAACGATGTTGATGTCTTCTTTACTCACCCACAAAATCTGCTCATTTAATAGAATTCACCAACCCATCTAGTGGTGTTATCCACCCATGGGTGCTCTGAAACTCACAAATTATATAATGATGTGTTTAAGAGGGAAAGTGAAAATTGGCCTATATCCATAGAACTAACTCCCAAACTCTCTTACCTTCGTTTATGCTTTACCACCAGGTCTCTGCCCCTATTTATTTTGCAAGTCCAGCTCTGTTTCCCTTCTAGTTTGTTGCATCTTTGGCTCTGCTGGTTGTCCAGACTTTGCATCCTGTTCTCTCCGGCTATGGCAGGATGTAACCACAGACTTGTAATTCAGATCACTTTCCAGTGGCCTCACAAGACTCTCCTGCCCACGCTATATGTGTCTTGTTCTCGACGAAGGCCCAGAATGGAGTGGGCCAAAAGAATAGGCTGGAACCATTATGACTTCAAGTTCTGAAGCTCCGAGATAAACATAAAGAATTTCCTGCTCGATGTTAGCTACAAAGAAAAATATCTCCAGCAGCAAGGATGAAACAGCTTTTCTTTTATGCACCCTCTGCAAAGAAAAGATGCTTGAACAATATTTATACTTTTAGAACCACCAAGTCCAGCTGGTATACAAACTGGGTCCGTTAGTTCCCACCTACATTTTTGTCTTTCTTCCTAATTTTGCATTTCAGTCTGGTAGGAGGCATGGCTTAAAAGGAATCCTTGAAAAAAGGCACGAAAACAAAAGAAAAAGTTAAGAGAAAAAAGTCCAAGTGAGGAGAATAGAGAAAAATAGTTTTGAAATGAGTAAACATTTGAAATATGGGAAAGGCTAATTACTAAAACTATGTGGATTGGAAAGGAAATCATTGAAAGGAAAAAGTGTAACGTCAATAAAACCAAATTTTTCACTTGTCAAAATAGTACTGAAGATGAAGCATGACAAATATTCCAATATACATTCCCTAATAGAATTACAATATTCTATGGGAATGCCCCACCAATATCAGATGTTCAAAGTCATGTCTGGTTAGACATCAGAAAGCCATGAGAGAGCCACTGGTTAATTTTTGTAAATTCAGCAATCTGCTGAGTATGGCATTTGGGGCCCTTTGCAATCTGAACCCCAAATTGTCTGTACTGTACAGGGTGTTATGATGGTTAATTTTATCTGTCATCTTGGCTAGGCTGTAGTCCCCAGATATTTGGTCAACAATTATCTTGGATGTTTCTGTGAAGGTGTTTTTTTGGATGAGATTTAACATTTAAATTGGACTTCAAATAAAGCAGATTACCCTCCATAACATGGGTGGGCATCATCTAATCAGTTGAAGGCCTTACTAGAACAAAGACTGACCTTTTCTGAACAAGAAGGAATTCTGCCAGCAGACTGCATTTGGACTTGAACTGCAACTCTTTCCTGGGTCTCTAGACCACCGGCCTACTCTGCAGATTTTGGAATTACCAAACCTCCATGATCATGGGAGCTAATTCCTTGGAATAAATTCCCCTTTCTCTCTCTCCATATAGAGATAAATGTAGATATAGATGGAGTTGCATCCTTTTGGTTCTGTTTCTCTGAAGAAACTTGCCTAATACAGGTAGTGATAAGATCTGGATTCTAGAACTAAAAATAGGGTTCAGAATCTGGCTCTGCCACTTACTGTTTAACACATGATGGGAAAGTTACTTTACCTTTCTAAGCCTGTTTCCTCATCTTTAAAATGGGAATAACAATAACTCCCTTAATTTTGTATTCTTTTGTTTCTGTTCTTCCCTTGCCTGTCATAAGTTTGTTCCTGTCTACTGAGCTAAACCTTACTCTTCTTTCCATACCTGTGATGGTTCTAAAAATATGTTCACAAATTCTTTGATGCTCTTCAAGTTTAATTCCCTTCTCCTTAAGTATGGCCTGGTTTTAGTGAGTTGCTTCTAACTAGTAGAAGAATATGGCAGAAGTGACAGTACATCATTTCCCAGTTTAGGTTATAAGATGACTACAGCTTCCACCTTGGTATTCTGATTCTCTGTTTCTGTTTGCCTCTGTCTCTCTCATTACTTGTATGAGGAAGCCGACATGAACAGCCCTTTGGAGAGGCCCAGTGGCAAGGAACCGAAGCCTCCTGACTACAGCCACACGATGAACTTGCAAGCAGATTGTCCAGGCCCCTCATGGCATCAGCTCCAGCCAACAACTTCCCTGTAGTCTCATTGGAAACCCTGAATTAGAACTACCCAGCTAAGATACTCCTGGATCTTGAGCCTCCAAGACTGTGTAAGACCCTAAATACTTGTTTTATATGGCTGTTATTTTGTAAATATAAATTTGATACACAGCAAATAATGCCACATTCAAGTTTATAAAAGCACCCCTGATCAACAGAATTTCTCTTCTGTTTACCCATAGCATTCTGCATAAAACTATTATAAAACTTTTCATGTTATATGAATAATGTTCGTTAATGCAATTGTCTCACTTGCATGGCTGAGAGCTGCTTGAGGGTGGCCATCTTTAACTGTATTAAGTGTAAAAAAAAAAAAAAAATCACACTCAAGCCTGGCACATAAAGGACTCTTAAATAGTTAGCCTGTTAGTGTCTCCAGTGTCATACGTTGATCTAAGTCTTTGCAAATATTTTCCCGTTTAATCCTCATAAAAACCTATGAGACATATTATTACCCTCATTTTACAGATGATGAAACTGAGGTCAAGTTATAGAGAAGCTGATTAACTTGCTCACAGGCACACAGCTAGTAAATGTTGCTGAATTACAGAATGAATGAATACGTTTCTTACAAACAGGACCATGTATGACTCACCTTCCATACAGTGCCTAGCCCAATATGCAACTGAGACTCAGTATTTACTAAATCACCGTCAGGTAATAAAAGTAGCTTAGCTATGTGAGAAAGAAGTTTTGGAAACCCTGATTGTGGATAATTTCAATTGATTCCCCAAATAGTTCTTTTCCTTTACTTATAAGAAGAAGGGTTGCAGTAAACATATGTTGTGATGAGACTAAAACTTTGGAAGACATTTACCTCTCTGTCCATACATCCCCCATAAATATTTGACAAGAAACAATATGTATTGGTAGTTTGATTATATTAGATATGTTTAAAAAGATTTTTTCCCCTGAAGTTACTAAATTTGGTCGTTCAAGATTCAAAAAACAGTTTGTGAAAGAGTAAAGTGGTGGCATTTGAATGGTATATTTTTGTTCCAACAAGAACAACAAAAGAATATTTCTACTGAAGACTCTTTGACTTACAAATTTAAAATAGGTGACTGCTGTTTGACTTCTGAGGCCCTTCTTAATGAAGCATGCAACCAATGATCCCTTTGGGTGAGGTCTTTCTAAATAAGCACCTGAATATGAAAAACCTAAACTAAAGCCAGCTTGCCTTCAGAGTTGGTCAGTCTGGAAAGCAGCTTGTGGCTTCCTATTTTTGAATTTTCGACTTGTTTTGTCTGAGCCCTTTCTCCCCACTTACTAGTAAGTAGGAGGTCTTTATATTATTTGATTTCTCTTGATGTCTATTTGGGAGGTTTATTCCTCTTACATTCTGTCACCATAGTGATTAATGAAAACATATTTTGGAAGCTGTAAAAAGGATCCTTAAGTGTAAGCAGATGCTAAAGATAAGTGGTTATAGTGGAAATAAATCATTTCCTTGGTTCCTGTATGCCTCAGTATTTCTCCTTCAAGACAGTACCTTCATAAATCTTCTGCTGGGAACATTATCCTAAAAGTTTCATTTAAGACAAAGGAGACCAGAAATTTCTGTCATTAAAGATTTAATAGCCTGTCTTCTATACTCATAAAAATGTAAGCCGTGTACTTCTAATTATTTTTCTTTAAAGATTAAGGATGGCAAACCATTTTCTGCTCATCAACTTGATTCCCTTCAGTTGTCTCACTTTACACTATTTTGCATTTCCGAACAGAGCCTTTCTTATGACAGTAACACTGTTTCTCAGGTGTTTCCCTACTCTACCACTCTGCATTTGGAGCAAGGCAGGTTTATTATTTCAAGATTCAATATTCCAGTCATGAACTAAAACAGGTCTAAGAAAATTTAATAACCCCTTTTTAAGCAGAAATCAACTCTCTAGAAATACAAATATAAACTGCTAACTAAAAACTTAAAAAAAATTATGTGTTCTAAGATTAAAGGCAAGACAAAAATAACCAGAGGGTTAGTATTTTTGTTCAAAGAGTTAATGTAGGCCAGAAATATCCACAGGGTGAGGCAGGAAAGGGTAGTAATTGGAAGCACACCAGGCTCCAGAGTTAGACATCCTAGGTCTGAATCCTGGCTATGCCTCTTCACGCCTGCAGATTTACTTTACCTCCTTATCTTCTGTAAAATGGGGACAACAAAAAATACCTACTATCGAGGAGGAGGAGTGCTGTGGGAATAAAAATGAGAGAATGCAACATGAGTGCACTGCCTGTACATAGTAAGTAATCAATGTATTTTAGGTATCATTCTTTTCTTTTTTTTTTTTTTTCAACGTTTATTTATTTTTGGGACAGAGAGAGACAGAGCATGAACTGGAGAGGGTCAGAGAGAGAGGGAGACTCAGAATCGGAAACAGGCTCCAGGCTCCGAGCCATCAGCCCAGAGCCCGACGCGGGGCTCGAACTCACGGACCGCGAGATCGTGACCTGGCTGAAGTCGGACGCTTAACCGACTGCGCCACCCAGGCACCCCAGTTATCATTATTTTCAAGTGCCATATGGAAAGATATTTATTTCTACTATTAGGACAAAAGGGAAACATTTCTAAAAAGACTGAAAAAAATGAAAAATGATGAATTTCTTGCCAATACATAGATATTAATATATTTACTTCATATGCCTTATTTCTTTTCTAAGGGAACTTCGAAGGCTTTCCTTTTTTACAACTATACTCATTGTAAAAGCAATTTCACAATTATTAAGAAAATAGAGATGTTGATTGCAAGGTCTTATGGGTGAACAGGGTAGAAGAAAGTTGATAGTTTTTGTTGGGACAACTGAAACTTGTTCTTACCACCTATTAATTACTTGAAATTCCGTTTATAGTATTGTAGATTAAATTGTCACTGGCACTCTGACAGACAGACAGTTTTAATAAACATAAAGTTCGAAAGGGTTAAGTACATAATGAAGTAGAAGCTCTTAAATGTTCCCAGTTACATTTTAATTGGTTTAACCCCTCTGCCAAATGGCCTGGCAAATTGGTATTCATCAAAAGCCATGAAGCTGTAAGTACTATTGGACCCAGTAATAACCCAAAAAAGGTCACAAATGAAGATGTTAATTGGATTCTTTTTGTTGCTTTCATTTTTTTTGACAACTGCATTATTGATACATAATTCACATTTCATTCCATTCAATTAAATGTACAATTCAATAGTTTTAAGTATATTTGGAGTTGTGCAACCATCATCACAATCAATTTTTAGAACATTTTCCTCAAAAAGAAACCCAACATCCTTTGGCTATCGTCTCCCAATTCCATCTTTGCAACCAGTGCTAAGCAACACTAATCCTTTATGCCTCTATAGATTTTCCTATTCTGGACATTTCATATAAATGGAGTCATTACACTAAGTGAAAGAAACCAGGCACAAAAGACAACATATGTTTTCAAGGATTATCCATGTTACATCATATATCAGTACCTCCTTTTTTATGGCCACATATCCCATTGTTTAGATGTACCACGTTTAATCTATACATTTATCAGTTGGTGGACACTTGTGATATTTTACTTTTTTGGCTATTATGAATAATACTGTTATGAATATTCATGGACAGGTGTTTTTTTAATTAAAAATTTTATTTTTATAGTAATCTCTACATCCAACATGGGGCTTGAACTCACAACCCTGAGATCAAGGGTTGCATGCCCTATTGACTGAGCCTGCCAGGTGCTCCCCATGAACAAGTTTTTGCTTGGGCATGTTCTCATTTTTCCTGGCTACAGATCTAGAAGTAAAATTTATAATGATTCTTACAGGAGTGAAAATCATGGTCCAACAATGTAATTATGCTGCGCTCCCAAAGGTATTATGCAGAAGTGTTACACTCTCAAAAGTATTCTGCAGAAAAATGTTTGCCATGTAGAAGGAAAACCACATAGCAATATGGGAAAAGGCCACATGAAGTGAAAAAAAAGCAGGATACAACCCACTTAAAATCCTTCCTGGGCTTCCCATTCTCTGCTCTGTCCTATGGACCTGTGGTCCTCAGTTCTCTCCCCCTCAATTCTCAAGACAGCTATATGTACTACCTTTCAGAGATTTTTAGAACATCTCAGCTTCAGACCCTTTGTACGTGTTGTTTCATCTGCCTGTATCACTTTTTCCCCACTTCTTTGCCTAGTGGTTTCAAGTCTCATCTTAAATGTCACTTCCTCAGAGAAACCTTCTCTGATATCCCTAACTAGGCTAAGGTTAAGTGTTTCCACTGCAGTCTGCAATTTTCCATCTTAATACTTTTGAATCTGGTAATTTTCTAGTAATCAAATATTGAGAGGTTATTAAAGGGACAGGGACACAGGATGAAACAAAATATGCAAGATCCCTGTCATCCTAGATCTTGTATTTTAGGGTGGGAATACATCTACATGTATACAACTCAATATACTGGGTAATTTTATTCTTCATTTCATTTTATTTTATTCCAGTGTAGTTAACATACAGTGTTGTATCAGTTTCTGGTGTATAATATATTCAACAATTCTATGTATTACTCAGTGCTCACCCAGTTAAGTGTACTATTAATCCCCTTCACCTATTTCCCCCATCCCCCCCCCCCACCTCCCTCTGGTAACTCATTTGTTTCTTCTTATAGCTGAGTCTGTTTTTTGTTTGTCTTTTTTTGTTAGCTGTTTAGTATCTTAAATACCACACGAGGGATATATGTCTTTCTCTGATTAGCTTATTTCACTTAGTATTATACTCCGTAAATCCAACTATGTTGTTGTAAATGGCAAGTTCATTTTTTATGGCTGCATAATACTCCAT